TCGACGAGTTAATCATGCCCAATTGTACCTTCATCTCATTCATTTCAATTACTTGGCACCATTAAAACGGAGAGCATTTTAGAAAATTCTTTTTAAAATTACAACACACAACATCCAAAGAAAAAAATAGGTATCTATATATATATATATACAAAATACTTTCAACTTCAACCAACCCCTGTTCTTGAGTACTGGCACTTTTTAATTAAAACGTGTAAAGGTTACGCTACAGGACACAAATTACTTTTAACATGTTTCTAGTTTTAGTAGACATTTTACTACGCTCGCAACAGCATACGGTCATATGAGCGCCAAGGGGCGCATATCAACAGAAAAGTCCCAACAGGGAATCAGGCTTACTCTGCTCACCTCTCTAGCTTCAACAGCACAAAGAGCTTCGACTATCAATGCACCCCGAAAATAGCGGGTCACAAGAGTGTGACAAACATACAAAAGAAGTAGAGGATAAAATGACGATAGTAAGGATTAGGAAAGAAAAAGCAGCAGTTCCCTGCTGCAGTTCAAGCACAGTTATGAGTATGACATTGATGAATTAGCCCATTTACAATTCTACTGTGCATAAGAACATGCTAATGTTCCCCCTTTAGGAATGGCCTAAAGACACTTCAGTCAGTAGCACCGCCCCGGGGGGGTATTTTACCATGTTTCTTTTCATAACCCTGGCTTGTACATGCAATCAGAAGCATGTTGTACGCTGCTCTATTGCTGAGGCATTCTCTGTACTCTGTGTATACGAATTCAAATTAAGACACAACAACTGAATGATTCCCCCCTGTGATTTTGTGATTGTCTCAAGTAGTGTTTCAACAGAACTAACAAGACGAGGAAGCAAAGAAGAATGTGATGGCCTCTTATTTCAAAAGTACCTGAATTAACACATACAGTAGGAACCTATATATTGTAAATTGGTTATTCTTTTTCTTTTGTGTTTCAAACCCTTTACTCGAGCGTAGGTGGAATAGACACACATGTCTTCTTCTTTGATATTAATTAAAAACTTTAAAGTCTATATATTGACTGCACAGTGTAAGACATCAGATGTTCCTTTTCAAAATGGTGTATGGTGGAGTCTTAATCTTAGACTAAGCATTCAATCGCGACCCTAGAAATACAAAGTTCTATCTGCCCAGTAGGCCTACTTAGTTTTGAGAAATTTGACGTTAAAAATTAATAATAATAATAATAGTAGATAGCATTTGTATAGCGCATATCCCCGCTCAGCAGCAGGCTCTATGCGCTTTACACTATATTAGGTTTCACAACATGTCAAGTTTTTCCCAAAGTATGATACACTATTTTATACCACAATAAATTATAATTCACACTGCTGGCCGAGGTTTTGGTCGTGTGATCAGAGCATAGAAAAAAGAAAAGGCAGATACAACACACCAAAGACAATATCACAATCACAAGCAGAAATGTGAACATAGAAGTCTATCTGAGCCATTTCACCGCTGAACGTTCCACAACTTCTGCTGATATATATAAGAAGCTGGAAAGTCAAGAAAAAGAGGCCTGACCGAATTATCTACAACATAAGTTACAATGTCAGTCAAAGACGGAAATTAGTTGGTGTATGGATTCAACACTCCCATCAACATTATTATGCAACTTCAACTCCTATCAGCCAGAAAGACACACTCCATGTCATTTCTGTTTACCACCTTCCACCAGAACGACACGCCCAGAAAAACACAGAGCGTGTCGTTTTCATCTCCCTTAATTTAATAGACTACACATTTCTGTCTAGTCCTCCAAATCCATGTTACATAAACTGGTCAAGTTTAAAATAGACATGATGATAATAATGCTTCCTTTCTTTGTGAGACTTCGCAACTTGAGGCTTTTTTTTATGGTAGCGTGTTGTATCACCGACAATTTTAGATTTCGAGTCCGAATCATTTTCCCACTCAGAATTGTTACTCAAATCTCTCGACAGTACATCTGCTTATTCTGCATTCAATCTCACTATATAGGCTTCCCTCATGTTGCAGATTATTAATATTTTTGGTATGGTGAGCGCGGAAGATCTAAATCCTTCATTATGTTAATTGTTCGCGATACAAAAATTTTCGCGAATTCTGAATGACAGCACAGATTTAATTCTGGCTATTCAGGAAAGTACATGAAATCATCACTGGCTGATAGTGATAAGAGTTAAGAGGTGGGGAGATAAACTCTCTGTGCTGGTATGACAAGCACAACCACAGGTGGGTTCAAAGGCCACCAGAGACGGAGACCAGTTCTCTGTAATGATGTGACAAAGGTCTCTGTAGGCCATTCATATTCGTTGTACTGCTCAAAATTTCCAAGCTGATTACCAACACATTCCTCTATACACAGTGACAACACCTCTCTCTCAGTTTCAGGCATTCTCCTGTTCAATCCAAGCATATAACAAACAAGTAAAATTATTAAATCACATTTCCTTGAGTCTTTGAATTGATTGCAGAAAGTACTGTTAAAAACATATGAAAACAAGTCTTAAAACATGTCTACTTAAAACAAGTAAAAACATGCCCAGGCTGAAACAGGCACTAAGGCAGATGTAAAAGACTGTGATTAAAAAAATTGCCCAAAAACCTGCAAACAGTGTTGAAGTACATATTTCATTATCATTGCAGAGAAAAAGTTAAAGCTACGGTACATGGAAAAAACATGAAGAATTGTCTCATAAATAATTTTACTCGATAAAGAAAGAAAAAAAAGAATTTCATTGGAAACCATAAAAATTTCATCATCATCAGCCCTGAGAAATCCAAGAATGTATCACATCAAATAAAACTGGAACAAATTGTGCCCTTAGAATGACAAGGTTTTAACTCCGTGCATGCAGTTTTGAAAAAGTGGGATAAAAAGAATCACACTTCAACAGCTTAAATGATTTTACACCTATTTGTTCATCTTCCAACTAAAAAAAAATACAGGTCAGACCGTCTCGAGCCTGTGACACAGTATGCACGGCATCTGCGTTAGTAATATGCAGTGTGTAACTCAGTTACTCCCAAAACGTGGAGATAGAACCCTGTCATTCTAACGACACGCAATATACATTTATTTGTTAACCAGCAATATTAAAGCAATTGACGCAGACCCAGCTACAAGCACATCAATATTCAAACCACTAGACGTAAGCACTTTTCAGAGGATAGGCTGCCATTCGAATTGTGCCATCAGGCACCACAAACTGTTCTGATGTGTCCTCTTCAGGCTTCCAAAGTCACCTTTTTTTTTTATATACCACTTCATCATAGACAGTTTCATACATTCATCACTTATCCCATCTCCCCCCCCTCCCCTTTTCTCTTTAAAGTTTGTTAATCCTTTATCCCTTTCAAACTAAAAGGAACCTAATAACACAAACATGTCAACTACTAAGGTGACCCTTTCGTAAAGCCGGAAAAAACTGGTAAAACTGATGTTGGAAGAGGTTCTCCAATGAAAAGAATTAGTCACTCATATTAGGACTACATTCTTTTTGGTGTAGAACCAGATGGTACAGGGATTTCTGTTTCACAACCAGACTAACTCAAACATGAGAAGTACATTAACATTAACTTACAGTGAGGCACACAGAGGTTTTTTAAAGTATTTGGACAATAAGAAAAAAAAAAAGAAAAAAAAAGAAAAGAATATAACACAAGAGATGATATATTTGTAAAGATACTGACATGCAAAACCTTCATAACATTTGTTGTCGGTTTGTAAATACATATTTTTGCAAATTATGCAGGTGGCTTGACAAAAAACCAAGAAAAAAAACAACCCTCCAAAAAAGTAACTCTGGCATGAAATCAACAAAGATGAAGTAAGACACCAAGACGCTATATAAATGAAAGTTTAAACAAAAATTCAACAAAAATAATGCAGGGTGAACATATCATATACGTAATTGAAAGGGCAATCAACTTTTTAAAAACAAACTAGCACAAAATAAAACATTTAAACTAAAAACACTTTCCTCAGGTACTAACTCTTAATCATTATGGTCCAAAAAAAACGTAACTAAATAAACATAACGAGACGAAAGATGCTAAGAAGATCATTTGCATTCACAATTTGACTGGTAGCCTACATGTTTTTGGTTTGCTTTGTTTTTCAAAATAAAGGAGATTTTTACGCCCTCATTGACACAAGTTGGATCGTTTAGGTGAGGAGGCAGCCACCAGCCCTGCCGGTCAGAGCCAACCACGGCTTGGAGGGATACAACATCCCAGCTGAAAGACCAAGATACTTGATAAAAGCTCTCCCCACTTGGGAATCGAAATCAGGTCTCCTATGAGTAACAGCAAAGTACCTAACCGCTACACCACAGGCGCTGATGCCATATGTTTAAAAAGAAAGAAAATCTCGAAATACAATTGTATTTTTAAAAATCCTTATTCTTTTCGAATACATTTAGACGATCAGACTGATATAATTTACAGATTCAAATACAAAAAACGATAACAATTCTTTAAATTTATTAGACCGGCCCAACGCAATTTGTCAATCCCAGCTGATGATCACCAGCATTAATAATACACTGGGAGGTTTTTCAAACATAAAATACAAGAATTCTCTACTTAATTTATCTTCCGAACAAGTGTGCTCTATAAGAATGCCCACACTCGCCTCTTTCTAAAGCCTCTTTTCAGCAGACAATTATAACAACTCCCATGCAATGAATTTTTAAAAGGCATAACAGTGATATGGAGTAAGATCCCAAGGGGCTCATGAATGAAAGTTTAAACAAAAACTCATCACAAAAACAAAGTAGAGTTAAGGCCTACATATCCAAAGAAAGTGGCAATAAATTTTCAAAAATCAATTTTGCAAACAACAAAATCCTCACACTAGAATCTCTTTTCTAAGGTACAATTGATCATTGCGGTCTACAATCCTTCACCTTCCCCATAGTCAGTCTGACCATCGGGGCAACACTGTAGATTTTGCAACCACCTTCATATTCATTTCTCCACTATTCTCAGCTTTCTTCAGTGTGGTGTCCAAGTCACTGCCAGTCCACTCTTTGATGCTGTCTTCCCATCGTTTCCTCCGTCTGCCTCTTCATCTCCCTCCTTGTGTTGTTCTCTGTGTAAGATAGTTTTTGTCCAGTCCGGTCCGGATGCTCATGTGAGGTGCCCGTACCATTTCAGTTTGCTGCAACTTTTTACTGAAGTCAGGAGGTCTTCGAATGGCATCAGACATCGTTCTCTCTAAGATGTTGAAGGGAATGGGGCAGACATCCTTAGCACATTCAAGTTGTGGTTTTGAACAATTCTCCTGTGTCATTATTCTGGTAGATTGCGCTGGTTGCCTGGTCCGCAATAAAGGTAACCAAATACATAAAGTTACAAGATAGATGCCAAGATCACTCACATTCACTATATTTCAACTGCTATGTGTTTGAAAAAAAAAGAAAATACAATTGCATAAAAATAATCCATAAGCTTTTCGAATACAAGCAGATAACCTGGCTGATGTAACCATTTGAACAAATTCAAATACAAAAAAAAAAAATAATAAAACAGTTGTAAAATCCAATTAAGCTGGCCAAAACAAAATCCTCAATCTCAGTTGACGATGACCAGCATCAATAAATACCCTTGGTATTTACATAAATTACGAAAATTCTCTTACTTTCTTTTTTTTAAGAATGGGTGTGCACTTTAACCCTGGCTATTTTCTTAAGCCCCTTTTCGGCAGAAAAAAGGCAACTCATATATACATGAGAAATTTTAAAAGGCCAAATAGTAATATAATATATGGAAGAGGCAGAACAACATAGAGTTTGAAAAAGAACAGGGAATGGTCATGAGTGAGAGTTCCAATACGAATGTTATTTCGATCACATAATCCCTGGATTAGAGTTGCTGCCACCATTGGGAATCAGCAGTGGGTCGTCAAAACGTTCATGATTCACAAGGTGATCTCTGTCTTGTACATGAGAGGACTGAAAGGAAAAAGAGACACAAAAATGTTATGGAACCTTCCAAAAGTGTCATTATATAATATGCATGGGCGGTGTGGTGGGAAGTAAAATACCTCTTGAGGTCTCTTATGAACCACTTGACTTGTTTGACCATGAGAGACAATCAAGTTCAATACATATTTTTACAGCTTTTATTTCGTGCAATAAAATAAAAGCAAATGCAGTGGCTTCAAAGTCAAGTCACATCAGAAGCTTTGCTGCTATTAGCTGTAAGTGAGAACGGTCAATTCATATTGACAGCTTTGTTGGTATTAAAAGTTACAGGAGAGTGGTCGCAGTCTGTTTACATTGAAAGCTTTACCATTAACACTTTGCCATCACAAGGCTCATATAGTAAAAATTCTTGCCATCAAAGACAAAGGCATTTTGGGGAAAATCCAAAGAAACTGGGTGGTGGTAAACATCGCCGATCAGCGAGATGAGGCGGCAAAGTGTTGAGAGACAGTGACAACTCTCCACAAAAGATATGATTTTTCTCCACAGTTCACCTTAAGCGGAACCACACAAAGCGACAGATGACCAAGTTAAAAATCACTCAAGACTGGGAGCCAAGTGAGCTGAACTAATAATTGATAGAAATTAAAGTGTCTTACAACCCGATTATGTAAGGACACTGTATTGCCCCCTCATGGAGCGTGCGATGGCGAAGCAGAGCCTAACTCTTATACCACAGACGCTGGAGCTGCTTCGACCCTCACTATCAGGGCCAACCTGGGCTCTACGGGCTACTACTGGACTACACCTCAACAAAAAGATTGAGACTCAGATTCAGATAAAATAAAACTTGCTGAAAGACAGCAATTGTACCTATAGAAAGTATTCCTATTCTTTGAAATTAGCCCAGATCAGACATTCCAGTATTTTCTGCTTTCTTATGCAACAACAATGGAAAAAAAAAGTGTGCATATGAAGACGTTTGTGGAAGAGAGAGGGTGTGAGTGTGTGTGTGTGTGTGTGTGTGTGTGTGTGTGTGTGTGTGTGCTTGTGCGAGCGGCATGAGCGCGTAAAAGCACATGGTGAAACACCAAACTGGACAATAGAAATTTATCTTAACTAATATGATCTTCTCATTCCACCCCAAACTACGCTGTCGAAATATACAAACAAGTGATCTGATACTGACCTGAGAAGAGGAAGAAGAGGTCAACTTGCCCTTCACTAGGACAGCCAACACACACACTAGAACGAAACCACCAACAGCAATCAAGCTGTATTTGACAGCGTCGGTTAGTTTGATCTTGTCCAGAACTTCATTCTTGAACTTGGCAGCATCACCTTCAGATATCATGGCACTCTGAAAACAAAACATTTCAAAATCAGTCTAGTATCAAAACAACCTTTTTCACCACTTTTCTTTAGAAAGAGTTGTGAGGCATCATGGTGAAATCAGGCGCTTGTTAAAATAATAAAATCGAAGAAACAGGTATTCTTCCTCCAGTTTGGCAATTCTTATTGATTTTTATTTTTTTGGCTCAACATCTTCCATGTCCATATAATAACACTTTTCTACATGAATTTTACTGACAAATATCAAAGGCACAAAATATGTAAATTTCCAGCTTTCAAGGACTCTAAAGCTATAGAAGTTACCAAACTTTGGCAGCCATTTTATCTCTAATTTTACCTCTGAAACCAGCCTGCCCCAATCTCCTTTAATAGCAAACATCTCGACTTCTATTCAAGATAGATGGGTGTCTTTTCATAAAAGCAAAGCAAATGAATAAGCTTTCAGATGATTCTAATAAATCCATATGCCTTTAAAAAAATTGACGAGCGCCTGATTCCACCGCGTCATGACAAATTTTAAACATCAGTCTTGTATCAAAACAACCTTCCCACAACTTTTCTTTAGATGAAAGATTTTTTTAACTCAAAAAGGTCGACATTTGTTTTGTTGGGTTTTTGTTTTTTGTTGTTTGTTGTTGTTGTTTTTTTTGGGGGGGGTGTAATTGTGCACCTCCATATCACTATTGAGATTTCTATACTTTATGTCAATACAATTGAAATTGTCAGACAGCCACACATTGTTGAAAAGAAAAGTACTCATCCTGGACAGCGTTACTATAATATATTTTTACAATAAGGATGGGGGGAATGGAAGGTGGTCGCCTGTAGAAGCGATTCTCTAGAACAGGAGACCGTTAGATCAGGTTTGACTGCATTTTCAGCAATTAAGTCAGCCTCTAAGGCTGGAAATTTTGAAGACACATTGATCAAGATTCCAGACTTAAGCAACTTGTTGACTTAGAAGCATGTCATACGAGCCTAAAAAAGCAAATGTGTCTGCTGACAGAAGAAAGGTCTCAGTCGTTAGAAGGTTAGGATACTAAAATAAGGACATATTCTTGGAGCAAATTCAATGCTGAACACACTGATTTTTCAAATTTTTTCAACTATCTCGAACAGTCTTAACGATATGCCGCATTTTGTAACACAGGGTATAAAAACAAAGTTTGGAGAAAAACTAAATTTCCAGCACATTTTTAACTTTTGTCGAAGTACATGTTGCAAAAATAATAGATTAAAAGATTTTAGACTTTAAACTATATAATAAAATCCTTTCAATATATCATTAAGAAACGGTTAAACGTGTGTTTTCTGATGGAACTAAATTTTTAACCAGCTTTGCAAACAATAGGGACCTTTCTTTAGGCACACACAAAATTTCATATAGTCAACGTCAAACCTGTCCAGGTCAACCACTCATTGTAAAGAAAAATAGACGTCATCTTAGAAGGGGATGTCCTCTTGGACAGTGTCATTATAACAGAAAAAATCCCAAGGGTGGGAGTCGGAAGTGGTCTTTTGCACAGGTGATTGTCTTGGACAGATGGTCTTCAAAGCAGGTTCGACTGCAATTTGGTCTCACTTTTCAATGGATGCACTTAGGCACAAGCTGGTCTTTTCCCATTTTTCAAAAATGAAAGAAAAAAACCCCAATCGATTGACTTACTTCATTTAGCCACATGACGGGAAAGAAGATCGGCTTCAGGTGAGCAAACTCTCTGGAAAGAGAAAAATATTTCACATTTTAAAAAAAAACGAAAAAAAAACCTACATCAAATGTTGAATAGAAGTTGAATAGACTATAATATGAAAAAAAAAAATCCTACAGGACTATGGACCCAAGAAAGTCTATATTTTGTTTAAGTTTTAGTTGGATGTTTACAACACTTGCAACACAATTAGATCATTTAAGTGCCGAAGATTAGAGGTGTTAACAGATAGTAACATACAAAAAAAAGGAGGAGAGCTGAGGACAACTGATGTTTGATAGGAAAGACGGAGCAAACCATATCAGAGCACCCACCAACCACTCACAGCAAAGTCCATGAAAGATTATAATCTAGTAAGCTGCCAAACATCACACTGAATACTGAAACCTGAGATACCCTCAAGCCCTCCAAAGATAACACAAAATGAGCCAAAACAATAAATCACTCTTATGAATATGAAACTGATTATTCACCATATCACATTTCACTGTATCTAACTACTCCTTATATCGACTGTTTAGTGTAAGACTCCACCATAAGTCATTTAGAATGGTGAATAATGATGGAGCAGTCAATAAATATTTAATATAATTTATACATATAAGAAGGAAAAGGTGGACCAAATTTTAAAAACTCATGTATGTTCCCACAAAAAAGAACTCTAAAGATAAAAACCACAAGGGGTATCTGCTTACGGAAAGCCATCAATCTTGTCCATGAAAACATTGATCTGCAGCTTCTTGCCTGCATTCATCACCACACCAGTCAACTGAAAAAAAAATGTTTTTAAAGAAATAAAACACAGCAAATGGTCATCATTACAAAACAATTCATCATCAGACACTTTTCCAAAACAGTATTCTCTTGACTGCAAAATATTGGGTAGATAGATAAGATTTACTGACCTCCACAAAGAGAAATTTGCTGCAGCTTGGTAAATACATGCACGCATACGCACACACACACTCTCTCTCTCTCTCTTGCTATCTCTCTCCCTCTCTCTCATACAGCCACACACATATTTACATACATAATGAGTCACTGGATGGACAAATAATGATACTTTTCCACACCTCACAATGAAAGAATAGCTCGTATTCATAATGGCATGAATGAATTTCCATACCTGTTGAACTATCCTTTCTAAACAAAAAAATATTTAAAAATTGTATAAAACATGATATTTCCTTTAACTCTTTAACCATGTCTGGACGGTGGCAGCGTCCAGTAGTTAAGGTTCATAACCATGGCTGGACCGATGTGAAGTTATTATTGTATTATGGTACGGGCCGAATATAAAAAAGTACGAGCTAACAAGCCTTTAGTTTGACCCGGAAGTCAAAGATAAATGAATTCTATGTCCGGGTAATGCTTTATTGATCAGTTTGACATGCAACAAGCAGTTTTAAAAACGTAATATTTCGGGTCGCATTTCCAAAAACATGCGAGAATTACACGAAAACGTGATTTTAAATTGCATGGTTAAAGAATTAAGAACAAGGCATATCATCCCTCCGCTGACACATAAAAACGGTAATCTAGTCAATCAATGACAACATTCAGCATGCACAGCCGACCCACCGGCTCAATGTCCAGGAAGCTTGAGTGCTCTTCTTCATTTGGGGAAAGCCCTTCCACAGCGTTGATAGTTTGCGGATCACATCCCAGAAAATGAGGCATTGACATCACTACAGGAGCTCCTGAGCAGAGGAAAATGTATTGAGGATTAGATCAGGATTGTGAGCAAAATCACAGAAAACAAATTCAAGTTACTTGTGCAAAAGTACAGCTGCCAAAAAAAACCCACTCAAGTTATTCAGCTGCCAAATAAACTCAATTTATTCGCAAAAGAAAATTTAGAGACAAGACAAATAAACAAGCATTAAGATTAAACTGTTAACTTACATGTGCCCAAAAATTGACGAGTGCCTGATCCTACCGTGTCATATCGCCTATTGCCCTGGTGTTTCCCTGTCACCCATCTGTTCAAGTTCTCTAAGTTGTTCTTCGTCTTCCACAGCCACTGTTAGTTGTTAGTTTTAGAGGTTTTACGGCGCTCGCAACTGCATAAGGTCATATGAGCGCCAGAAGATTCGGGGTGTTACATGAGAGTAACAAACATAAAAAGGAAGTAGGGGCGATAAGGACGATAGATGTTTGATAGGAAAGAAGAAGCAAACCACACCAGAGCACCTGCCAACCACCCACACAGCCACTGTAGTTGTCTATTTTTTCCTATGACAGTAAGAAGCGTAAGTTCAAGATCTTACCGTCTTTTAAAGTGTCCCAGAATCTGCATTTGTCCATCCCTAGTTGTTTTTAATAGAAGGCAGTCCAAGTGGGTTTGGCTCAGCACTATCTCTTTTGGTTTCTTTTCCTTCCCTTAATTATATTTTTGTCTCTTAAGAAACCACATTTGTTGCTTCAAGCATAGTAGTATCCAAAAAAAGCAGTAAATCTTACTTGTAGTCTCGTAAGCAAGTGTGAAAAGATCAAACCACTTCAGCACTTCACTTCAAACATCTGTCATATTACATCCAATGCTAAATGTACCACAGAAAAATGACTAAAATATAATATTAATAGCTGAAGACGGTTGCAATAAAGTGAGTCCACTCCTGAACATTAGAAACATCTCAAAGACAATCGAAATAAAAAGAGTTTTAAATGGTTACATGTGGTCTACCCTCATATACGCTGTATGCTGGACAATTACCAAAGATATTGAAAATAAACTTGAAGCAACAAAAATGTGGTTTCTTAGGAAAGTTCAGAATTTCACGGAAGCAAAAGAAGCAAAATATGGTAGTAATGAAAGAAGCCACTCACTAATAGAAACAATTGGGATGAGAAAAATGCACATTCTAGGCAATAAATGGATAAAAAGGCCCTGAATATCTTGAATGTCACAAAAAAAAGTATACAGCAAAAGAAGCATGGGAAGACCAAGAACTACTTACAAACACAACTTCAACAGATAGTTGATGAAGAATGGAAAGACCAGGATAATAAAGGTTTTCATACCACATCCAAGCAGAGAAACGAGTGGCAAACCGTGATCGCCCACGTTTGGTTTTGGATCTGGCATTCCATGTTGATTCATGAATAAATCACAGAGAGAATTACGAAATCTCAGTTTAAAAATTTATAACTGGGTGACGTAATATACACCTGCCTCTACATTCAACACCCTTATCGTTTCACCCTGACCACACTACACACAGTGACTAAACTCTTTAAACCCCAGCGGTAACAACCCTGTTCCCCATCGGACGATGGGAGCGTCCCCGATACTAGAGACAACTGTTTCGTTTCATTTAGTGCTAGTTTTTGCTTGTTTTTCAGAACTATTCCCCATCCAAGTTTTTAAATTACCACTAAGCCTTTGTTTTCACAATTCTGAAGTTGGAGGTAAGCTTTTGGGGTTATAATGAGACGTAGTGCACCAGGTTTAGGTGACTGTAGAAAAAACTGCGGGAAACATGATATACACTGCAGTACTTTGGACTCACAACCCACCTGTTCTACACACACTCACACACACATGTATACACACACACACACACACACATTTGGAGTACTTTGGACTCACAACCCACCTGTTCTACACACACTCACACATGCGCACACACATATACACACACACACACACACACACACTTGGGAGTACTTTGGACTCACAACCCACCTGTTCTACACACACACACACACACACACACACACACACACACACACACACACACACACACACACACACACACACATACACACTGCAGTACTTTGGACTCACAACCCACCTGTTCTACACACACTAACGTTGAGCAGGCCAGATGGAAGGCAGTTTCCAGGAGGGGTACAAAAGCCTGCATTGTCCGGGTTCACAGTCACATTGCCAAACATGATTTCTGGAGCAACAAAACGATCCATGTCGATGCCTCTGTTTGTCACATCTTTCTTGAAGTCCATTCCCAGTGAGCTATATACATGAAAACCCCCCCCCCCCCCCAAAATAGCACATGAATAGGGCAATGCAATTAAAACACATCAACACAGATATGTGAGGCAGCGTGGTGGAATCAGGCTCTCGTCAATTTTGGGGCATGTACGAGTTATTGGTATCATCTTAAAGTGTGTTCACTTGTCTTTATTTGGATGAAAAAAGTATCCATCTATCTTGAATACATGTCGAGATATATGCGAATGAAGGAGGTGGGGGTCACCTGTTTTCAGAGGTAAAATAAGTGAGAAAATGGCCCCCAAAGATTAGTTATTTCCTTGGCTTAAGAGTCCGTGGTAAATGAAAATAAACATTCTTTGTGACTTTAATCAACGTTTTTAAGAAAAATCCACACGGAAATGAGTTCTTTAATGGGCATGAAAGGTGTTGAGCCAAAAAACAAAAATTTGATAAAAATTCAGATACCTGCGGAAAAATGCAAGTTTCTTCACTTTGATTATTTTGACGAGAGCCTGATTAGACCACGCTGCCTCACATACAATACTGAACAATAAAACAAGACCTTTACTACTCCAAGACACAACTCCTGTCAATTAACTAAAGTACAACAAACTTTTGTCATGAATTTGAGAACTAGTTTAGTTTTAGTTAGCATTTTACAGCACCTGCAACACAGATAGGGTCATAAATGTGCTAAAGAGTAGAAGGGTTACAAGACAGTAACAAGCACCAACAAAAAAAAAGAGGAGACAATAGGACGATAGATGTTTGATGGGACAGAAAAAAGAATTTGAGAACAATGGCTCCCTCAGTCGTTATTTGATAAATTTGAACTCTAACCATTTCCACAAATTTTGTGATTCATCATCATCCAGTGCCAAATCTGCGACAGACATCGGCAATCATGGTTCTCCATTCATTTCTTTGCTCGCATGCTCTCAAAATAGCTATGTTTCCTTGATCTTTCCCTGTTACCCATTTGTTTAGGTTCCCAAAGTAGATTGTTCTGGGCCTACCCCTGCCTCGTTTGCCTTCAATTTTGCCAGTGAGAGCTAGATGTTCAAGACACTTATGTCTATTCAAGTGTCCCCAAAAACTGCATTTGTCGTTTCCTGATTGTTTTTAACATTGAGCGTCCCACGTAGGCTTCATCAAGCACTACCTCATTTGAATTATTTTCCTTCCACGATACTCTTAGCAGTCTCCTTGTGATTACATACATTTACTTCTTTTCTTGACATCACACTTATACCAAACGACCTGACTGCAACAACAGATACTATAAATGGAATCATGGAACTCACCGACAGAGATCAGATGAAAACAAATACTTAGTTTGACTGGTTGAGATGAATGGTGGATACAAGGTACCATCTGTGGAGGAAAGAAAAGATTTATTTAATTATAGTTTTAGTAGAGGTCTTACGGCGCTCGCAACTGCATAAGGTCATATGAGCGCCAGACGATTAGAGGTGTTACAAGAGAGTAACGAACATAAAAAAGAAGAAGGGGAGAAAAGGACGATAGATTTTTTATAGGAAAAAAGAAGCAAACCACACTAGAGCACCCGCCAACCACCCACAAAAGATTTATGTCTTTAGAATATTTAAACACTAGTAGTGGAGGGGGGTTGGCGTGTGCTCTGATGCGGTCTGTTCCTGATATGCCTGATATGGCATTGACCCTCACAAACAAAATTACTAGAGTGACAAAAAGAAAAAAGCCAATGCCGTTGTTTACAACAACAACAAAAAATAAAAAATGACGAGGCACTTTCTCCAAACAAAACCTTTGCATAGATGAAAACAGAATATTATGGTCTCTGCTTAAAGAGAAGAGAGGGGAGAAGTATAGTTTGAGTAAAAATTTTTACTGCACTTACAACACATTCAGATCATATACACGCGTTGATGAGAAGACAAACCTCACATATACAAAACAGAGCAATAGATAAAAAGTAACTTTTTTTTTCAAAAAGGAGTTTTACACCTCACTCGACACAATTAGGATCATTCAGTTGAGTGGTTGACTTCCATCCTGTTTGCCAGACCCAACCTGGGCTGAGATGGATATAACTTCCCAACAGAAAGACAAAAAATACTGCGACATCCACCCCCTCCCCCACCCCCCTTTCAAGTCAATCTCACCATGGGAACTCATTGGCTACAAAATTTGAACAACATAAGCACTAAATCTTATCGATCTACTGATTTTGTTGAACAATAAATATATTAGAAATGAACATCCCATTCGTCAATTTCCAAATTTTCGGTGTTTAATCATTTTTACAAGATGGGAAACTATTCAGAAAGCCAAAACAAACTATTCTAGGGTCGACAGATGCAAACAAAACGCTTAATCATATGATTAACTACACGGCACAGAAGTTTTATGAGGTAAAAAAAAAAGCCTGACATACAAACATTTGTTTCTGTAGTCAAAATAAACTGTTCATGAATGAAAAAAATAAAAAATAAAACATGAACACACTTCCATAGGTCAAGTAAAAAAAAAATATACTGAAATTTACTCCTTGTGTGACAGTAGAAAAGTCTTTGTCAATTCAAAATGACAGCTCAGAGATTCCAGAAATTCAAACTCTTTTTAACACTACTATTTGATCTGAATTAATTAGCAATTTCCCAACTGGAGGGAAGATTCTGTTATCTTTCAGATTACCATTATGAAATGGTTATCTTAACAATTCATACTGACCAAAGTACCTCCGAAAGACAACTCAACGAACCAGATATATGGCATGAAAGGCAAGCACTATACAATAAAAGCTAACAAGAAGCTGTTAAAAAGAGTTTTGAAACAAAACATTCTTTTCATTTATGAGTTTTTGTAATAAAAATTACATGGTGTAAGATTATTTTTTTTTAAAGAATGTACATTTTAATTTTACCCCACAAAGAATTGAAGAAAAAGACAAAATCTTTTTTTGTTATGTCTTAAATTACATAGACAACTCCAAACTGTTTTATATCCAGAATACACAAACTGCTGTTTTTTTTCATACACAAAAAAAAGACTACCAAAAACTCTGTTCTCCGTACAAAAATAGGTCTTGCCCTCTTATCATCTTCAAGCCAAAATTTAACATCCCCTTCCCCCCAACCCAAATCTCAAACAAGACTTACCAGAACCATTGATTGCATTGGCTATCTTGGAGTTCCAATAGGACAGAGACCTGAAACAATGAATATTCAGTCAATAGGCAGACTGGTGTAGCTTCTTGCATGAACTAACAGAAAATTACAAGCAATGACACATTTCAGTGGCAAACTTGTGACAAGAAATCAATTTTATAGTGAACACTTTCTTTGCACTAAAGGTTCTCGAAACATGCGAGCAATAAGCATAAAGCCAAAATTAGAAAAAAATGAACGACTTGCTTTTAAAAGTGATATTGTCCCAGCCGTAAACCTTTTTAAATCTGTGGAAACCACCCTCTGGGATTTTTAATTGGTATTTATTAACGAATTTTCTGGAATAAATCGAACAGGTTTTTACAAAAATACAAATTTGTTAGAACAAACTAATATAAGCAATTGCGCAGAAGTGGGCGACTTTATGTTCAATAGTTGAGGAAATATTAGATAAAAAGTTGCATAACAAATTTTTTACCGCACTATGGGCTGAATACTTCATTGCATGATCGGCTGAAAAGGAAGGGGTCTATGAATAGTTCACAACCAGCAGGGATAATGATGCATCTCCTGTAGGCGGAAAAGCAGACTAACATTTCCCCCATGCCCACTGTAAGATGTTGTTGTTAGCGATCCAGTAGCATCTGAGCGTTAACTCTTCTGCAAGATGCCATTCTGTAATAGCTGCATGTCTGTTCTAATTGTTGTCTTGAGGAGTAGAGGCAGTTAGATGAGTGGGGTAACTTGGGAAAAAAACATCCCCTCAGATCGGTTAGTTTTCTACAGAAGAACAGATGATGTTTCACTGTCTCTGAGGGGTAGTCACATAGTGAGCAGACTGCAGACTGCTTTACTCCAGTTCGGTTGAGATGTTCTTGAGTTTTAAGTTGGTAGATTATGGATTGATCTCCCCTCCTCAACTCATTGATTGGATCTTTGATCAAGGCAAATCTCAAGGAAGACTGGATGAACGCATGGGCCACAGGTATGACAGGAAGGATGATGTATGGCCACATGAATAAACCACTGTAAGATAAATACAAAAATGAAATGCATACTTACGTGTTTCCATTCCAAGAGAGTATTTCTCCAAAGTGATCAAGACCCTTCTGGCCTGAGATAATCTCGTAGACGCCATCATCAGTGCCATTTTGCTGAAAAGTAGAAAGTAACACTTAAAAGAATATTGTACATGGCTAATAATGGTAGGCCAAAGTTAGACATAATTTCACTACCTCAGAAAGACAAAGTTTTATCTGCCCAGAACCTAGTTTTGAGAAATTTGACGTCAATATTTTTTTTAGTTTCACAATATGTCCAGCTTTTTCGAATGCAATTCTTTGAATATCTTGACAGTGACTCCAAATATTCTTATGATTTTGTTTGAGCAGATAGAGCAGCTGCTTTCTGACCTCATGGTCATAGTAACTCAAAAAGGCCAAAAATGTCAGATAAAACATTGTAATTCTGAGGTAGCGATTTGATCTGGCTTAGATGCGGGAAAACAACACCATCTGCAGCAGCCCTCTCCCACACGCCCCCCCCCTCCCCCAATCCATTCTCTGAAGTGACAAGTCACAACAAAAAAATAGTCCACATTTGTTGGATTCTGAAGAGTAGGAAAATTAGGAATACTACTGCTGCTGTTTAATTTTGTGCTTTTCGTTTCAGTTAGAATTTTAAGGCAATTGCAACACAATTAGGTCATACAAGTACCGAAGATTTGAGGTGCTACAAGCACACAACAGCAACTGCCAACCAACCACATCAGACATTTGATCTTGCTTAGAGGTGGAAAAACAAGACCATCCACAGCAAACCTCCCCCACCAATCCTTACTTTGAAGGGACCAGTCACAACACAAAGAGTCCACAATTTTTGGATTCTGAAGAGTAAGAATATTCCTGATTCTGTTTAGCTTTGTGCTTTGAAGCAAAGACTCTTATCAGAGATTGTACACTTTTATTCTGTGACTTTCATTTAAGGAAAGATGCCAACTCTTATACAGTTAATAAAGACAAAATAGTGATAGGTGCTCAAGTGAGTGTAGAACACTGGTTCAGTTTCAGTAGCTTATACTTGTCTACATCACTATGGCTTGTTCTAAAATAGTCTTGCCTGTGGATAAAATCATCTTGTCATTTCTCTTTCTATTGATAGTTTGACATGTAGCCCGAGCTTAGGTGCGTTGTCTTTCTCACACACATGACGGGAGACAGAGAACCCGAGTGCTTGTGAATTCTTAGTACTTTAAAGTTGTTTAAAGTACTAATGGCTTGCTCTGTGCAGGTCTTGTCACTGGATAAGTCCATCTCATCATTTGTCGTTCTTTTGATATAAGTCTTACTGATAAAATTATAATATCCCATGATATAATAGGCGAACAATCTGTGATAAAAGATTGTGACCTGTGATGTATTGTGTGAGGCAGAACTTTTCCTCAGCTAGTGGAGAGCATGTACGGTTAGTACGGTAGTACGGTTAACAGTCAAGTGGTTAATACATTGGAGGGGGCGGGGGGGGGGGGGGGGTTGTTTGTTTCTTTAATACTTACATTGTAGAACAATCCAAATACATCTGGGATAGATCGATTGAACGGGCGCAGCACTTTATCCACCTCCTTCAGTAAAGGATCCTCATAACCCCACATGAGGTCACCAACTGAGAGTTTGATGAAAAGCTGTTCCCCTGTCAACTTGAGAACAAACTCCACTGCCTCTTTGATCAATGGGTTCTCGTAACGAACCATATCAGCCACAGTCTGGGAGAGAAAACAAAAGTACCAGAAGGCAAGATGAAAAGTCGGGAGCTCAGCACCGATATATATATATATATGCATTATCAAAGATGATAACACCACTTGATCAGCCACTGACAGGCCGAGTGGTTTAAGTTTAGTTCTTGTAAGAGTTTTAAGCATTCGCAACACAAAGAGGTCAAACAAGTGACCAAAAATTAGGTGTTACTTGAGAGAGTAACATACAAAGGAAAGAAAGAGGGCACATAAGGACGATAGATGTTAGATCAGGAAAAAAGGAGCAAACCACATCAGAGCACCAGGCTCAGACTGGGTGGCATTCTATGAGGAAGCCGAGAAACAAAAGGTGACTTAGATCAGAGAGGGTGTTTAAAGTATAGTAGAGGGTTTTACGGCGCTCGCAACTGCATAAGGTCATATGAGCGCCCCAAGGAGTGGGTGTCAACAAGGAAGTCTTTATAGGGAATCAGACTTAGACTGCTCACCTCTCTAACTTCAACAGCACAAAGTCTGCTTTGACTATCAAGGCACTCCAAAATAGCAGGTCACAAGAGAGTGACAAACATACAAAAGAAGTAGAGGAAAATGACAATAGTAAGGGTCAGGAAAGAAAAAAGTTGCAGTTCCCTGTTGTAGATCAGGCACAGTTATATAAATGAGCATGACATGAGTCAGCCCATTTACAATTCTACTATGCTTGAACGAGAAATGTCCCCCCTTTGGAAATGGCCTAAAGACACTTCAGTCAGTGGCACTGCCCCGGGGGGAAGAGAGGGTGTTTTCTCGTAGTAGTAATTTTACTTTTTTTTTAAATGTAAGTGTTTTTAGGCTCCCATTAACACAATTAAATTTTAATACTCATACACGGCACATAGAGCATGCTTTAGAGTGTGGATATGCACCATATAAATACAATTATTACCATAATTATCATTATTTAGATGATTTAGGAGACAATCTATGACTCGGCCTGTCAGGGCCAACCTGGGCTTAGAGTGAGAGATATAGGCTACCCAGGGTTCTGGCCATGAACCACAGACCTTGGTTCTCACAGAAAGGGAGAGACACAATCACGTCTAACTTTTGAATCAGCGAAAAAGACTGATGAAATCTGCTGAAACCCTTAAGTCTTGAAAACGATATCATATTACTGTAATTAACCGCCTCCCTCAATCCCTTTCTTCCCCCTTTTCAAACTGCCATGGCTAATGTAATAATACAGACAGGAAATAATATGTACTAATCCTTGTAATCAGTGTGCCACTTCAAGCTCCTAAAAATAATGAGAGGGAGAGAGAGAGAGAGAGAGGGGAGAGGGAGAGGGAGAGAGA